CTTCCGTATCCAGATATTCCACCACCCTTCTTCAAGCAGATAATTCCAGTCACACTGCCGCATTTGGGTGTCGGGCTAGGCAATTAAAATTTAGCTCAGTGATTACGGGCAAACACATCTATGATGTCTTCTTACATCAGTCTTTGTTTTCAAAGCAATTTCCTTGGTCAAGGAGAGTGTCTGATCCTCTTCTACAATGAACAAAGGACGTGATATACGTCCCCCATCAGTGTAAAGACGTAGTTCCTTATCCGCAACGTCTCGAACAATTGATAACTCCGGAGTTACGTCTACATTTCTTCGCAAGTTCCTCAAAGTCTTGACTAATGTATCTGGATCATCATGAATACCTAGCCATTGACCATTGACAAATACTTTCGTGGCTTTGGGAATTCGATCTGGTGTAATTTCCTCCAAATTTTCCATATTGAACTCGTTCAAGAAATCAAGAATCGGGGCCACCGAATGTCCAACAGTCACATAAGACATCAATGACAAGTTCTTGACAAGACCACAAGCCTGTCCCTCGGGGGTTTCGGCTGGGCATACCTATAAGGTTCCGGTAAAGAAGTTTATAAATTAACTATTTCTGATAGTATTTATCTCCTACCCTCTTCATTAGCTGTTCTTACATACCATACCCCAGTGGGTGTTATGCAGCTGACGGGGCTTGGCCAATTTCCCGTCTCGCCCTATCGGTGTGTTCAAACGACGTAGATGCGACAAGGTTGACGCATAGGTATATCGGTTGAGTACTTGACTGACACCCGCGCGTGCTTGCATGAATTTTTTTTGGTCGCCCCAGTTACCAGTAGCAAGAGAATACTGCAGCCCTCTCGTTATGGTACCGCCCTTAATTGCCATTGTCAAGTTGAACTCGCCGCGTGAGTCTACCACTTTTCTTGTATATCTGGTCACGTCATTCGTAAGCTTCCTAAAGAGCATCCGGAACAGCCCACTAAGTAGTGGACCAGCTAGATCCAGACGCTTCTTTCCGAAGTGATCACGATCGTCGAGTTCACGTCGCTCCAACGCCGCCAGCAGCAGTCGGTGAATCATGTAACCAAAGAAGAACGCCTTCCGTGTCTGATGATGCGCGCTAGTGCTTACATGAGGAAGCATCTCCTTTTGCAGAATGTCGGCAGCATATCTGGCGAACGCTATGTCAATCGTGTGTTCCCAATCTAAAGTAAAACATACCTCCTCTCACCTTAGACGCTTATCTCTGGTGACACCTATCGTAGTTCCTCTTCTCCCGATATAGTCCAAGGCAATATCCCTATCCTGAATTACGAACGCTTCTTCAATTGATGGTTTCAATAGCTCCAGCATTTCGCGGTCATTGAAATCGTAGCAAATCTGGGCAAGAATATCCCGATCTGTAATGGAGCCCAAGGCTCGGAACACTACCATAATCGGAATATCGGATTTGATATAAGGTAGAGATGTGCGGATGACGTGTCCTGATGTCTACCATGTATCATGAATTTTTAACATATTTAAAGCATAAGGACCAACAGAACCGCCATAGGACGACTTACCCCTTTTCCTCCCTTCGCAAGCATTTTAATGAATAGCGTGGACGCTAATTTCGATCCTTTTTCTGGCTGACTTCTAATTTCTGCACTGAATAAATATGGTGCTGGCTGTGCTTTGGCAAAGACGTAGACGGTGTTTGTAGCCATCCGTTCTTGGGCGATAAGGACTTTCTCGGAACCATTAATCACGAAGTAACCACCCTAACGCAGCATGAAGATTAGTATCTACCAATGACACAATGAAACCGATGTAACACCAACCTGATCATATGGACACTCTCCAACAGATTGCACATCAAATCCTTCCACATCGTTTGCTCGCAGCAAGTCAGTCAAACTGCAATAGCTCGATCGCAACATAATCGGAACTTTTCCAATGAAGACTTTGTCCCAATCACTTTCCGCATGCTCCACTTCCCAATACATATCTGCTGCCGAAGTAACATCCTGATTTAGGGGATTTGCTGGGTCTGCTATTTCCACCTTCTTTCGCATGTCCACATATAACGGGGCAGAATACCTAGATTAAAGGAGCGGTCAACACCCGAAGTGAGAAGCACGCCTCGAGTCAGCGCATACGTCAAGTTTCGCAAGCGGGCCTCCTGTGGGTAAAGTTGCTTTGTTTCTCCTTCAGGTTCCGAGTGCGTTGGCTTACTGAGGTAAATTTGGCCGAACTGGATCGAATATCGTCTCTGGTACAAAACGAATATATCAACAGGAGGCGCACCCAACATCATGACAGAGAGTTGTACTTTACCGTGACATCGCTATGCGTGCCGCTGTGCTGACCCTGAGTAATGATTTGAAACTCTCCATTCTCACTGACGATCTCTTGGATTGTATTTTGCACGAACTCGTCGAATGAGTCCAGCTGTTGCCGCACTAGACCCTTGTCATCGAAGTATGTTTCTATAACTCCCCAGCAATCCTCTTGTGTAATCTCATCGCTGAGTAGTCCGGCTATTCAACAAGACAAGAACCTGAATCAGGAAGGACCGCACGAACCACTCAAGACACCCACTTGATCTCACCATCATAATCATAGGAAGGGTTCATCATCATGAAAAAGAGACAAGCGGGATGGATGGTAAAGTGGAGAACAACAAGTAATCTATTCAAGTCTTTGAAGGAGATGTTACGATCCTCGCCACCACGCGATCAAAACGTATGGGCCAGTACTGCACCAATTCAGGAAAGAATAGCACAGAGGCCGCTGGAAAATCAGCAGTAATCAGCAGCAAGGGTAAAGTCGGCAGTTCAAAACGACGGTGCTGACTACTCCTTGCAAGATGAATGGTATCTAAAAATCATGAATTGTTAGTCAAAGGCACTTCATGAAGGTCGGCGGTAACAGGCCCGGCCCCTCAACTGTCGTCAACTCACGGAAGACCACCACTCGCAGGTTCAGTAAATGCCAAATCAACCTCGTCCAAGCACACTATTGACTGAACGCTGGTTGGGTCAAGGAGATCTGTCACAATCTCACCAACAGTTTCGAGCTGCAACCTGACCTGCAACTGCATGGCAATCATGATCCCAACATCCGTCACGTGAGAGTATCACGTGCCAAACAGCTTCAACCCAGCGTAGGAAAGGCTAAATATAGGGGAAATTCTGAAAAAGCTTAAAGATGAAATAGCTGTGCACAATCGTACGCCTACGGATATTGATGATCTCTTAATAGAAAGGTAAACTTGAAGGCGATTTGTTTACGGCCAGCTGCAATATGAGCCAGTATAAACAATCATCGCTTGTAAATAAAAGTAAAAAGTGATCGAGTATTACCTCAGGGTCGTCCCACGCGTCCCCGTATTGACACTTTGACAGCTGTGGACGAGATCTAGTGGGTGTCCCCAGTTCCGCCCCGAGAGGGCAATCTGTTCCAAACATTACCCTCTAAGCAGTGCCAGTCTGTCATTCCTGTTGCTTACAGTTCACAAGGCAGGACCGACGGAGAATTTTGCCTTGTTTCTCCTCAGGTCTTCACTTGAAGGACATGACTGGCGGCGACAATAAATATGGAGAGGGGTCCTCTTCCTCAAATCCTGCCGAGCAGTCCACCTCAACCTCTTCCTCCTTCCTTTTTCCAGCTCCTCCCCGAACACCCAGAAAGCGAAGACGTTCAGAAGTCGACGAGGATTTTACAAAGCGCGGTCGCTTCGACCGATTTGTCGCATCGAGTATAAGTCCTCACGCAACTCCAGAACTAAGGAGTGCCTTTAGACACAATACTAGGCGTATGTACTATTGCGGCATTTGTCGTTATGTCGAATAATTCGGCTCTTTTGCTTACCTACCGAGAACTCCAAGCAGCCGACTCTCCCACTCGCTGGTCGGGAGCATCTGTGGCATTTCCAACGCCGAGCACGAGCAGCAGTAGTAATAAGGGCTCACCTTATGCGGAGGCTCTCGGGCTCGGTGGAGAAGGTAGATTCTTCCGTCATGGACCGTCCCCCACACCGCAACAGAAAACGGACGCTGAACTAACTTGGGAGCGACTCCGAATAACGCCAACGAAGCAAAGTGATAGCTCTATCCCACATACACCTCGTAGTATCAGAAAAGAGCAGCGAGTCATTCCGCGACTTCCAGAGAGGGTTTTGGATGCTCCTGGCCTGAAGAATGATTACTATATCAATGTCCTGGATTGGTAGGTCCACTCTGTCAAAGCATGTTAAATTAACAATGTCACCAACCTGTAGCATACATGTAGGTCCGCTAACAACATTCTAGCTGTTGGATTGAACAACAAGGTTTATCTGTGGGATGCGGTAAAGTCAATCATGGTTAACGTCCTGTCGCAATGTCTTGCGCTGACGCTTAGCGGGTACCAGGCAACGACTGCTATTCATTGTATATGGACAGTCGAAGAGCCAGACTACGTAACCGCGTGCGTCTTTTCCCCATGTGGACTTCGAATTGCGGTTGGATCAGAGGAGGGTCGCTGCGAGATTTTTTCTGTTCCTCGTCACAACTTTAAAGCTGGCAAATGTAAAGCTCGAATTCGTCATAGGAATGGTCTGGCAGCTGCTACCTGGTGTCAGAAGGACCATAGTCTGCTTTTGACTACAGGAGACAAACTTGGAGTGATCAGAGTATACAGTACATCTGTACGACGTCCAAACGACCCACATCCCTCGCGAACACATTGTGAGCTGTTACGAGAATGGGCACATACACATTCTGATCGCATTGTCGGGCTGCAATGGTCATCGGACAATCGTACGCTCGCTAGCGGAGGTAATGACAATTTGGTTTGTTTATGGCAATTAGAGCGAACCGAAAATCCCAAAAAAATCATCCGGGACCACACATCCGCTGTACGAGCCTTAGCGTGGTGCCCATGGAATCCTGAGTTGCTTGCTACAGGTGGAGGCCTAGAGGATCGAAGAATACGTGTTTACAATGCTAGTGGTAGGTCTGAGCAGATAACATTGGCCGCATTGCTTAGTGTACTTGTGATAAGCGACTGAACTACATTCTTAGGGGAGAAAAAAACAGAAGTAGAAACGGGATCTCAAGTGTGCACCGTCCATTGGTCCAAGGGCTATAGGGAGCTGATTTCATCCCATCACACTACAGGAGATCAGCTCATCATCTGGAGTTGGCCGAGCATGAGGGAAATCGCACGATTACCTGGACACTCATCTCGCCCTTTGTTCTTCGCCATGAGTCCAAATGGCGAAACGATAGTGACAGGAGCCGGCGACGAAAACCTCAAATTTTGGAAGTGCTTCCAATTGCAGGACGGGCAGAGACTACTGAAGGGCCCTGAACAGGACATAGAAGAGTATAGGCGACGGGCGTCAGATGTTCGTTGAGGCCTCCACCGGCCTGAGACACGCCGCAGCAGTGATGGATTGTATAGTGTATAGTTTATGCAGAAGGCAGTTTTTAATCTTAATGGTAAATAGATCTGTTGCTAAATAAGTGGGAACCGCAAGATATTTCATGCTTGGCGTGCATCGAATGAGCATCGGCGTTTGTTTACTCAAATGAGCAGCAAATCGACCTCTGCTCGTCGCCAACGGAACTGTACGTGTAATTTTGATCAAGTCATGGATAAGGCATCCTTAAATATATTTACACAAAACCACGACACTGCTGGGTCCCATACTCGAGTATCTGCTCCAATACCGTCAGTAGTAATATACTCCGAAAGCTACGTTCGCGTTAGTTCACGGGAATTCCGTTCCTAAAAATGCAATCGTACTTACCCACGGCCACACAAAACAGAGAATCCTACAATCCATTACAAGAAAAGCGTCAAGATTGTACATGCAGCATATGAGTCCCAGTGGCTCACTCACATTGATGAACGTGTCTTGAGCCACGTTGTCAGTATCCGCATCCCAGAAACAGCGACATCCCATCCTACATGCAAAGTCCCGAACTAAATACCATCTCTGCCGGCTCGCTGTGCTTGCATCACCTTCTTACCTCACCCCTTCACCCCTCATTTCCCCAATTACCACATTAACAAGGTATTTGTATCTGGGTAAGTCGAGTTCTGGGCACATAAGGATGAGCGAGATCACACAGAGAGGTCACACTATTAGTAGCTGACTGACCTTTTAGTCGATTTTTTATCTCATCTGCTATTTCTCGCGTCCATTGTGAGCAAGTGTCTGGATGATATGTCGCACCAGTTAGTCGATCCGCAAGTATCTGATGTATGAGTTTTGTGACGATCGCTGGTCGAAACCTGCACAACGATACGCTCATTAGACTCCGTGTGAAACCTGTAAGCTCCTAGTGTGTTTTACACACGGCGAGCACACTAGTATCGGCCGCTCTTACACGTACTTTTGTTTGAAGTTGGGCCGAATGCTATATACTGCGCTGTCGTCAGCCGGCTTGTCCGTCATCATTTTCAGTCAACGTCGCTGGGCAAAACACGCCAACGCTGTAGTAAGCGTCAATTGCGCCTCGACACGTGAGTTCATTTGGATGGCTTAGTAACTGCACCCACAGTAGCTAACGCACCTTACCTTGTGCCAGAGATCAGAGGAAGGATGGCTTTTCACGACGATGCAAAGGGAGGGAAAGCAAGTTTCCGGTTCTGCACAGAATGGTGAGGAAACCTCTAGAGGCCGCGGAGAGAAGTTTTATCTTTGCAGAGCTCATTGGCTAACCATCGTTCACAAAATAGTGACAACATGCTGTATCCCCGAGAAGACCGAGGAACACGAGCTCTTCTTTACGGCTGTCGACACTGCAACCATGTAGAGGAAGCAGACTCGACGTGTGTTTATCAACATATAGTATCAGCAACAGCGAAGTACGGAGAAGTCGAGCGACGATAGCAACCGGACATTTCTAAATCATTGTTATAGAGAGCAAATCGTCGGCACCAAAGACCTTGCAAGCGATCCCACCTTCCCGAGAATAGACAAGACTTGTCCCAGGTGTGGTTATCACGAGGCAGTATTCTTTCAATCTAGATCAAAGAGCCGAGACGCGACAATGAAAGTGGGTGATTTGCTATTCTATCATACTGTCTTTGTCTGTGTTCCGATCGAATTCATCGCATCTTCTTGTAACAGCTCCGCTATGTATGCTGCAACACCCAATGCGGACATCGATGGACCGAGTGAGCGACTGCATAGTTACCCACAGACATAATCCATGACCTGCGAAGGTTCCTCTGTACAAATTCGTATATATTAGATATTGCTCTATGACAGAGCACTTGGTTATTACCATTGATTAATTCCACTGCAACAGATACTATCACGAACAGTAACGTACATTGTTCCGGCAAGAGGATAAAGAAATTGAGATCCATCTTATCAACATGTAGATTTGATGCAAAGTGCTGCTGCTTTATACTGCTGCTTTATATATTTTGACCACAGCGTCAGCTCAGTCTAGTCGATTACCATCGTTTCTTGAGAGTTTTTTGGCTGACCTGCAGCCTTCACAGCCACAGGAGGAGGCAAGTGGATGATTTTACCAGAGAATTCATCACCATTGAAGCAAAAGAAGTTATTCAAAGGCGCATCCTTGCCGGATAACACTTTCAAAATGTCCTGAGCCGCAAATCCGCCGAGTATAGCGCACACAGGGGATATCTCCGCGCGGGCCGTTCGTGCAAAGCCTCTATCATAGATTTGTTTCCTTAACACCTGCAAATATCCTGTTTGACGCTTTCATACTTACCGAAGAAGCTCGTCGGTCACGTACGATGCATCACATTGAACTGACTTCAAGTACGGAGATTTCAATTGCAGAAGCGCATTCACATCATTACTCGAACCAGGTAACGGTAAGCGGTTATGTTTTGCCCAAAACTGCCAAAGAACTTCAAGGAGACGGGTGATTAGCTACGTGGGGACTCAAGGAAGGATACATCGAACTTACGGTTGAAGCCAAAGTATACCGGATCCGATCCAGCCTTGAAGGCGCGAAGCTGCTGTCGGGACATCTCTGACATGCTAGTAGCACCCCAAATGCCCTGCTGTGTCTCTTCTAGGCTTGGAAATGCCATTGATTTTTCAATCTTCTCGACCGTCACTTCATCCTTTATGGAAGATTTTCGTTCTCTATCGTCCGCATTGTAAGCAATTATGTGGAGACAGTTGGAACAAAATCCTGTGGCCGCTTACTCTATGTAAGCATGTTCCTTCAGATCGTTAAAGATGTAGCCCATTGTCCCTGCTGTGCCCGCGCTGTAGAACTTGATACCATTATTTCGGCAGAGTCGATCAATTCGCGTCTATCAAGATATCGTAAGATGTATCGTCCGCAATGCATTGATGTCAACATGCTCTTACCATAGTTTGCAGGTCACTGTTGCAGAGACAAACAATATCATACTCGAGA